CTGCAGGAAGCCCATGCAGGCAGCCTGGCAGCAGCCCGGGAAAGCAGCTCCACCCAAGAAAAGTGGTGAACCTGATCTCCCCCCGCCTCCCTGAGCCTGCCTGCCTGCCTGAGCTGTGCAGGGGCCCAGTGCTTCCTTCTGCAGCTGCGATGCCCCCTAGGACTGCCCAAGCCGGGTGCCTGTGGGCAGGTGCTGCCTGGGGCGGAGGCCGCCACTGCTGCAGAGAGAAGCACCTGCCTCCACTACAGCCCAGGGGCTGCTCTGCCTGCCGCCAGCTCACCCTCCACTCCCCACCGCCGGAGAGGCAGGTAAGTCAGCGAGGTGTGTGCATGACACAGGGGTTTAATCAGCCCTAAATTGAAGCGGTGTTTTTTAAAACCCACCACTTCAATTTAGGGCCCCCGTTTCGTCTACACACGCCCATGGTTACTAAAGCTGCTGTTGCTTTATTACTTGTTCCCACAAATCTGGTAGGGATAGTTGTAGAACTGTTGCCACTGTGGGATTAGCCCCTTCCCATTAATGATGGACAAAGTATTGAAATACTTGGAAATATTGAAATACAGCCTTGCTTGCTGTGGTAAGCTGTGGATGCTTTGGAAATGAACAGGCTTCTCTGGGTATCAGGAACATCACTTCTCTCCTTAAATGCATTTGTTTTTAATTCAATAGGGAGCACACTATCTCCTATTAGGATTATGAAAAATTATAGAACTGCTACAAGGTGTCCCAGTCACCACACGTATTGCTCCATCCGGCGTCCTTCCACCCTGTCAGGAGAAGCCACGTGCCAGTTGAAGGGGTAGTAGAGCCTCCATGCTCATCAAGGCCCCCGATTGCCGTCCATTCACACTGCAGTCAGTGGCAGTCCTTGCAAAAGCCTTGGCTTCTCTGCTGAAGCTAGCATTCTTGTCTTGTGCTGCCTGTAGTTTTAAGGTGGAGAAAAAGAAAGCTTGCGTGGTGTTAATTTTCTGCTTATGCCGCTCGGGTGAAAGCTCTGTCTTGCGAGACAGAAGTTGCCAAAAGGTTCTTAGATAAAGGCAGTTTTAAGTCATTGCTCCCATCTGTATGGGCTGTTGGCAGTGGGAACTGGAACTGGGATTTCTGGGTTGGAAACCACAAGCCCCTACTACCTGGACCACAAGACCTAGCTGCATTAGCCAAAGCCTATAGCAGACTCGTTAGCCTCTCTACATGGCTTAGCCACCAGTACAGAGAGACAGGCCACCATATGGAGAAGGCATGGGTTTTGCTCCTCAGGGCTGGATTTGGTCTGGCAACCAAGAGGCTTTCTGTACTCTGTCCCCTGAGCTATCGTGCAGTTCTTCTCTCAGCAGGAGGAGCCAGGGATGAACTTCACACATTACTAACACTGCATGTCAATCGGTATGTCCCATGCAGCTTTCCACATCTGGGTAATGAAAGGCACTGCCAAAGCTCACAATTGATACATCTGCCACCTCTGCCTGTATGCTGAACTCCACCAGCAGAGCTCATCTTGCGTGCCGGGGCCAGTGGGCTCGATGCCCACATTCTGGAAGGGATGAAAACCAGAGCTCTCCTTTTTTAGTCTGGCAGCCTCCTATGGGGACCATTGCACACAGTCTCTTGGATTTCGACCCAAAATGGTCACTTGGCCTTGTTTATAGTCTCCCTGAGTCACAGTTAATTAAAAAGCAGTTTATTCAAGTGGTGGGCTAATTTGCGTCAAAATCTGCCCATGTTGAGAGTATTAGCAGCCATATGAATGCGGTGAACCGCCCACAAAGTAATCTGTGCCTGCATGTGAGCACCAAGCCACAGCACGGATTGTTGCCAGACGTTACTGCCAACCAACTTGCCAGCTGTCCATCAGGACCAGAGGTTGGCTAATCATTAATCTGATTTAGACAAGCCATAACCTACACTCTGGGGTGAGAAGGTGTTTCAGTTGATTCATATCCTTGGCCTTGAGGTCAAGCTTAGATGAGCAGCCAGGAAACCCAATTCGTTCCTCCCCTGCTCCCCCTCCCCTCACTGCTGGCCAGAGATGAAATAAATAGCCTGTTGTGGCTCATCTCTGCAAACCCTGCTGAGTTTCACTTAAAGAGCAAAGCAAGATACTTTGGGTAAATCCGATATCTTTTATTAGACTAAATCAAATAGTTGGAAAAATTCTTCTTAGAAAGCTTTTGGGCACAAACACCCTTTATCAGGCTGAGGAAGCATCTGCAGTTGGTCTGTGCTCTTCCTGCATGGAGTGGTAAAGCAGCCAGAGGCCAGTACATATGCAGTGAAGCCAGTGAGTGCAAATGTACATTTTACCCAAAGCACCTTGCTGCCTATGTCCTTAGACCAACACAGCTACATCCTCCTATACCCCCGCAACTTAGAGCGCCAGGTTTTTTTAGTTTGAAGGAACAGAAGGAAGGATGAAAAATATGAGGAACTCCAGAGACAATGACATATTAATCCAAGGTGGGGTAGAGTCAACATGTGGTTAGAAAAGAACCTGAGACTTGCAATTCTCGGGCTTCTGTTCCTCACTTGGACACTGGTTGATTTTGATTTTTCTGTCCTGAATTTATTGCCTATGAAAGGGGGGAAAGTGACGTTTTCACCCTTTGTGAGGGTTCAAACAGGCCTCATAAGTTGCTCTGGTGAAGCATTTTGAGAACTTTCCATGAAAGAGGGGAGACCATAAGGCTTTTGGGGTGAGATGATGATCTCCTTGTCCCCTCTTACAAGCCTCCCGTTGGAATCAAGGGAACTCATCTTGCAAGATCGGTTTAGGAAGCAGCTTGGTAATAGTCCTTTCCCTATCTACCTATCACTCCTTTTCTCAAGAATATCAAAATCCTTTACCACCACGGCTGGATTAAGCCTCACAAGACCCCTTTGAGGTAGGTAAGTATTATCCTCTTTCCACGTAGGGGGGAAATTGACTCTTGTGCACATAAAGGTTCACATTTACTTTAAATTTGAGCACCTCAGCTTTTGAGTGTTCAACTTTGGAAGCCTGGGCCTGTGTTTCAGGAGTGCTAGGATGTGCTGGGCCTGTTGACCTGGAGCTATGAATGGTTAGCCCCTCGGAAAGCTGGGTGTTGCGTTTCTGGAACAGGAGACCCAAAGCTGAGCCCCTTTTGACAAGCCGGACTTACCTGAATACACAGCAGAGCTAAGGACATACCCAGATCTCCAAACACATTGTTGTTTTTAGCACTGCACTACGATATATATATGATATATAGGGAGGATGAAGAAGGCACCAGGAAATGTGGGGCCCCTGCAAGATACGCTGGGCAATCTGGTGGTTGCACCAGAGGAGAAGACAGATATCTTTAACAAATTCTTCACCTCCATTTTCTTGTGCAGGGACCAGGACTCCCTCACCGTGTTTCGAGACGGACTCGAGGGGAACGCCTCTAACCCGGTCCTCCTCAACCTTAGGTCTTGAGTGCTTCTGGAGGGGCTGGACGTGTTCAAGTCAGCAGGTCCAGATGCTCTCCACCCCAGGGTGTTGAGGGAGCTAGCAGGGGTTATTGCTGGGCCCTTGGCACGGCTTTACGAGCACTCGTGGTGCTCGGGCCAGGTGCCAGATGATTGGAAGATAGCCAATGTGGTCCCCATCTTTAAAAAAGGGAGGAGGGAGGACCCGGGCAACTATAGGCCCGTCAGTCTTACCTCAATCCTGGGGAAACTCTTTGAGAAGATCATCAAGGAGCACATCTGTGATGGGCCAGCATCGGGGATGATGCGCAAGGGCAACCAGCACAGTTTCATTAGAGGCAGGTCATGTCATGTCAGACCAACCTGATTGCCTTTTACGATCAGGTCACAAAAGCATTGGATGCAGGTGTCGCCATGGATGTAGTCTTTCTGGACTTCAGCAAGGCCTTTGACACTGTCTCCCACCCCATCCTCATTAAAAAACTAGGTGACTGTGGCATTGATGCCTACACAGTCAGATGGATTGCTAATTGGCTGAAGGGTC